CTCCTTCAGGTTTGTGACTCAGACTAAGTTAGTATTTCTACCCAGCTGGTGACCCAAGCTAAACCTCTGTGTCTGATCATCTAATGTATTATTAACTGGTATCTTCCTCTACTTCCATCTTCCGTTTCTCCCACAGACGGTAATGGGATGGGTGCGCTATACCAACTGTCCCCACACTGGCTGAACCAGAACGGCAGCTTCGTCAGCACTGAGGACCTGGTGTTGACGAATCCGCAAGTGACTGTGTGTGTGTGGGTCCATATTACATACTTCAGGAGACCCTCCATCCCTCTCAGCGTCGCCAGCAAGATCGACAGCGTCGCCGACGTCAGCGTTGGTAGGGATAATTTTCTTATTTTATTAAGATAATTTCCATTTTGCATCTTTTATCTCTTGTTCGCAATTACTGCATGTGATTATATATATATATATATATATATATATATATATATATTATATATATATATATAATTATATATATATATATAATATATATATATATATAATATATATATATATATATATATATATATAATATATATATATATATATAAATATATATATATATATATATATATATATATATATAGGGTAGGGGTCGGCCTAGGAAAGGTTGGAGGGAGGGGGTAAAGGAGGTTTTGTGTGCGAGGGGCTTCGACTTCCAGCAGGCATGCGTGAGCGTGTTTGATAGGAGTGAATGGAGACAAATGGTTTTTAATACTTGACGTGCTGTTGGAGTGTGAGCAAAGTAACATTTATGAAGGGGTTCAGGGAAACCGGCAGGCCGGACTTGAGTCCTGGAGATGGGAAGTACAGTGCCTGCACTCTGAAGGAGGGGTGTTAATGTTGCAGTTTAAAAACTGTAGTGTAAAGCAAAGCACCCTTCCGGCAAGACAGTGATGGAGTGAATGATGGTGAAAGTTTTTCTTTTTCGGGCCACCCTGCCTTGGTGGGAATCGGCCAGTGTGATAATAAATAAATTATATATATATATATATATATATATATATATATATATATATATATATATATATATATATATATATATATATATATATATATATATATATATATATATATATATATATATATGCCGTCTGCCACCGAGGTAGTGTGACCCAAAAAAGAACCACTTTCACTATCACTTGCTCCATCACTGTCTTGCCAGAAGGGCCCTGATACTACAATTCAAAACTACAAATATTCCCACCCCTTCTTCACAAGTGCAGCCACTGTACTTCCCATCTCCAGGACTCAAGTCGGGCTAACCGGTTTCCCCGAATCCCTCTAACTCCCTCTAACACACACACGCTTGCTCAATGTCTCAGCCCCACTCATACAAAACCTCCTTCACCCCTTTCCCCCAACCTTTCCTAGGCCGACCCTTACCTCTTCCCCTGTACATTAACTACCCCCTTCAAGGCAGGCGAAATTGCTGACCTGGAGAGTGTACAAAGAACTTTCATGGCACACATAAGTAAGATAAGCCACCTAAATTACTGGGAACGGTTGAAGGTCCTTGGTTTTTATTCCCTGGAACGCAGGCGAGAGAGATACATGATAATATACACTTGGAAAATCCTAGAGAAATTAGTACCAAACTTGCACACGAAAATCACTCCCTATGAAAGCAAATGCAACAGGAGATGCAACATTCCCCCAATGAAAAGCAGGGGCGCCAAGAGTACACTGAGAGACACAATAAGTGTCAGGGGCCCAAGACTGTTCAACTGCCTCCCAGCATACATAAGGGGGATTACCAATAGACCCCTGGCTGTCTTCAAGAAGGCACTGGACAGGCACCTATAGTCAATACTTGCCCAGCCGAGCTGTGTTTCGTACGTCAGTTTGCGTGTAGCCAGCAGTAACAGCCTGGTTGATCAGACCCTGATCCACCAGGGTGGATCAGGGGTGTTGACCCCCGAAACCATCTCCAGGTATACCCTGCCTTCCTTCTACTACAGATTTATACGCGCTCCAAATCATCCTACATTGTTCCAGCCTCTCTAAATGTTCGAACCGCCTTAACAACCCCTCTTTAGCTCTCTCTATAATACTTTTAGTAACCCCGCACTTCCCAATTTCCAAGCTACGAATTCTCGGCATAATATTCACACAGCACAATGCCTTCAGATATGACATCTCCGCTGCCTCCAGCCTCCTCCTTGCTGCAACGTTCACAACCCATGCTTCACACCCATATAAGAGGGTTGGTACCACTATACTCTCGTACTTTCCGCCTTTTGCTTCCATGGATAACGCTGTCTCCACAGACTCCTGAATATATACGTGAGTACATATAGGAAGCTCATTTGTCTAGCACTCAGCAGACAGAGGATCAAGCCTCCATTACGTCTTACGCTTAATGACCCAAATGGGTTTAGCGCTTAACATGAATTAAATAACTCCACAGACTCATCAGTGCACCACTCACTTTTTTTTCCCCTCGTCAATTCTATAGTTAACCTCGTCTTTCATTGATCCATCTTCTGACAAGTCCACTCCCAAATATCTGAACACATTCACTTCCTCCATATTCCTTCCCTATAACCTGATATCCAATTACCTAAATTTTTTGTAACTCTCATCACCTTGATCTTTCTAATGTTCACTTTTAATTTCCTTTTATTACACACCCTACCAAATTCATTCACCAACCTCTGCAACTTCTCTTCAGAATCTTCCAAAGGCACAGTGTCATCAGCAAAAAGTATTTGTGACAACTCCCACTTTGTGTTAGATTCTTTATCTTCCAATCCCACACCTCTTCCCAACACCTCTGCATTCGCTTCCCTGTCTAAGGCTTACTTTTACTGAGAAATAATCTCTCTTCTACATACTCTAACCTGAGCCTCACTATCCTCGTAAAAATTCTTAACTGCTTTCAGTAACCTATCGCCTATTCCATACATTTGCAACATCTGCCATACTGCTTCCCTCTCTCCCCTATCATATGCCTTTTCCAAATCCATAAATGCATATTTCATGGGTAGCACTGAAAATGGGTTGGTCCTGGGTTTTAGAAAGACTTGTTAGGTAAAAGGACACAAATGCAACTAATGTGACATTTTACTGTGGCAACGTTTCGCTCTCCAGGAGCTTGGTAAGTCTTTGGAGTGAAGGCTTTGGTATTATAAAAACGCAATTCGCCTCATTCTAGTATATTCCAGCTTTCATACTTTTGCTATAAATTTTGTTTTATGTCATTTGCCAATAAATCCTTACAATGCCATAATTTTCAAAATTCACTTTTATTAGTACGATGTTGCCTAAAATTCCGCTGGTAATAATACACCGTGGCAGGGAAGATATATCTCCATGTTATTCTCGCCTCGACGAACTACAACAACACACTCTCTGTTGCGAAAATTTGCGTGTCTCACCAAAGGGTTTTACTCTTAAGTGAGCAGAGGGATTTTGTTCGCAAACGAAAATGCTAACCTCATATTACTTAATACACCAAGCACGAACTACAGTGTTGCGTCGTGATGAGAAAAATATGTCAAGAAAACATTGCAGCGAAAGTTCAGCAAACCTAGAAGTTTCCATCCATATATTGATGAGTCTTTGAATTATGGATTCTGGAAATTGTTGATGCATTTTTTTTTTTTTGACCCAAGAGGAAAGCTGTCACATCTCAAGTATGGATTAATAGGTTTGTGTTGGGACGAGACGCACTGCTCAACACCTGTTTGAGTTTCTGCAGGTGTTTCGGCAATACTAGAGTAGCAACGACTGCATGGTATTTCAGCAACACAAGTGACATGAAGCTGTTGAAGTAGACTTATACTTATTAAATTAATGATGAATATTGTGTTTTAAAGCAGAGAACGAAAGAGAATGAGAAAATTTGAATCAGGAATCTAAAATATTATATGTAAATTGAAGACCAAAAAGGCACAATACCATTACTGGCACAATACACAGATAACCCGCACATAGGAGAGAGAAACTTATGATGACATTTCGGTTCGACTTTACAAGTCACCGTGTCACTTGTAAATGGTCCAAGTCGGACCGAAACGTCGTCACACGGTTCTCCTATGTGCGGGTTATTTGTGTATATCTAAACTAAATGTGATCATTTTGCCAGCAGGTTTCCGATATCCACAAGATAAAGAGGATACTCGACGCAGACTCAGTTTACTTTAAGAAAGGAAACTATCTACAAGTTCCCGTCTTGTGGTGCTCTACTATACATAGTAATTAGGTACAAAGGGAGTTTTCCGCATTTAAAGCACAGAGTTCTAAAATGAAGAATTTGTCTTCATACATCAAACGTTTCCGCTGTTCAATTTCCTCGTCCTTTTCCATTAGAGATTGCAATTGATGCGGCTTTCAAATCTTTAGCTCTCAGTGCCGCGACATCAGTTCCTGCAGCACTCTCTCAAAACAACAGAGTCGCCACTACCTCTCGCATCTTCACCAAGAACCTCATAAAACTAAAATCTCGCACCCTTAAACAGTCCATACAGGTGTTTACACTTTTCACTGCAGGAGATGCGATAGTCTACCCTGGGAAAAACATTCCGCACCACCCATACATTCCTCAACGAATGCTAAAAGCAAGAGAAACTGCACTGAAACTCGCCATGCTGCTTCATAAAGGAGTGTACTGCGTAGCGTGATCTACGCTTCTGCCATCTTTCACTCAGGAAGTGCGTAAAAATTCGAGTCCAGGAACTTTTTGATAGTACCTCGTACGGGTCCATCATTTTCTTCACATTGCCTGAAATTGTGCAGGAAACGTCATAGTAACTGACTCACGAAATCGTAATGACACGATTGCAAACAAACCATACCATAATAGTTGCAATGACTGAGACATTTCATTTTAAGAGCCAGAACGTGCCTAATGAGTCATATTCAAGTACTGTACTAACTGCCCAAGTAACACGTGTTCCCACCAATATTAGATCAAACAAAATTGATCTGACTTGAATGAATGGGAAGTTAGAGTATCTATTGGGGTAGAAATGAAAAATTTAAATGCACTTCAGTAGAGAAAAGGATCACCTTGTGGACCTATATGTTCATATTAAAAGAGGTCAAAAGCGACACCCAGAGAGATCAATTAATATAATTATTTTATTTATGTATATTGATGAAAAGGTAAGAATATGTATGATGTGTATATGTAGGGGCAGTAGGCCTGCTGCAGTGTTCCTCGATTTTTATGTTGTGTGTTGCAGGTGTGGTGCCTCGCGGAGTGTTGCTACGGCAGGGCCAGCAAGTGTGGGTGGCCGAGGCTGTGTTTGTGCCACTCTTGTGGTACCATTTTTGTCTCTCTCTCACGTCCACCTCCGTCTCCCTCTTCCTCGACGCTCGTCGTCTCCTCCAGGTCACTCCCATCATCGATTACTTTAAGGGACAACTTCGGATCTTATTGGGAGGAAGTGTCATATGGCCTGATGTATCTCCTTCTACCCTCAGTTTTAGTACACCTTCAGACACGCAATGGGAAACCCTAAGTGCCACCAAGAGCATCACCTCCATCGTCGGAGCTTTTGCTGGCGACTTGCTGGCTCCCCAAGTGTGGAACGCCGCACTCACTGAGGCAAACGTAACTCAGTTAGTTGCCTGCAAAGAATCCTCTGCCACACAACAACAACAACAACTAAACTGGAAATTATACGGGAATAATATTAGTGAAACTTCGATGAATAAAACAGAGCCATGTAATAGGAGATATTTTGACTATCTATTGTTTCCGGAACCCATGAAATATAATGATAATCTTGAGTTGTGTGTTAAGCTAAATATGGAAATGATCAAGCCTCGTTCAGGTGACGAATATGAGCATTTATTCCAAGACATTTCAATTCAAAAAGCATGTACTGAAGGGCGGCGTGTGTTGTGGTTGGGTAAGGAAAGAGATGGTTGCAAAGCTCTCATTGCTTCGGGTAAGGAGTCAGCTCCTTGCAACTCAAACCTCTGTGGAGGCTGCCAAATTACTCCTCGGCGGCGTCGCCTGTTTATTTTACGAGGTTTATGTTCTCTTCCCGCTATAGATTTGGCGTTTGTTGCCACCTCCAGCACAAGTGCTCGGCCGTCCTTTCAGGGCGTGGAGCGTTATGGTATAACGACAGTTGAAGACACGTGGGAAGTACATGACGGAGCTACGGGTGAAGTGCTGGCAACCACAAATGGTACTGACCCGCTTGGTATTCGCAGCTGGCAGGTGAAGTCTAATATGTGCAGTGCCACTACTTCGGAATTAGTGGGAGCGTCCCTAAGTGCATGTGGAGAGTCTGAAACTCTCTGTAGGTCTGGTGCTTGCATCCCCCAGAGGATGCGCTGTGACGGGTACCCCGATTGTCCAGATGGTTACGACGAAGAGGATTGCCAGCCAGTCAGAAGGCCAGTAGGTTACCTAATAAACTCTCCGCCACCCCACCCTCCCGCTGCCATAAGTCTCACCATTGATATCACGAGAGTGGTGTCGACCGAGCCACTGACGATAGTGCTGCTCATTTCACTCACCTGGCAAGATCCTCGTCTCACTTTTGCTAATCTAAGGAAAGACGTGGACATCCCTGTACCCATTAATTCTATTATGTGGCGCCCCCGTCTCCTGGTACTCACTCAGGAAACCGCAGCTACTGAAGACTTGTTGAGAAAATCTCAAGCTACAGCTGGGGACCAAGGTATCGCCACCCTCACAGCCAGAACCTCAGTGAAACCCATCCCAGACACCAGAGATACCCCTTCAATAGGTAAGTTATTTTCTTATATTTATATATAATTTATGTTTAATCGTACGGTAAACTTGTAGATTTATTATGTAGTATAAATTTAACGTAATCTAAAAGTTATATTCTTTAATTTGCTGAATTATTTCATTCCGACTATCAGTGCTTTTTATCTATACATATTAAAAGAAAAGATATATAAGAATAGTTTGTGAGGAAACTGTCAGTACTCTGGCCTATTCGTTTCAGGCCAGTGTCTCTGCCTTCTTTAATAAAGAATTCCCGACATCACACGAGCCTTGTAGATACAGTATAGTTCAGCTAATCTTACATTCCCTACTCAAGCATTTGCTGCACAGGTTATTTGGTTGATGCGCTCGTCATTAGGGTAACTCCTAGGTCCTCTTGACTGAAGTTGGCGCTCTCTTCCTCTCTAACCCTGAGTCTGTACTCAGTTTCCAGTAGTCTTTCCACTTCCAATACTGTTATAACCTTTGCGCTTAACGGAGGTGAACTTCAAGAGCCACTAGTTTGATTCTGTAGTTGGTCCAGGTCAGTTAAGTCATAGCCTTTCTCTTCTTTACCCGATTATATTCTCGTCATAATCTACAAACAAGGATATACCGGACACTCCCGCTATATCCTTCCGTCAAAGTATCGTTCCTCGTGGAACCTCACGTACAACAATTGTCTGTTCTCATATGTGGAATAACTATTAAAGGTTTTGCGCTTCCTTTCCTCTTGAAATATGCCACACAGCCAGACTCCAAATAAATATATATCATCTTTGTTTCTCTTACTTCACTACTGTTATACTGTTATAAAACTGGTTTGTGAAACTGAATAAAGCATCGTTGATATTTATGAAAATGCTTTTTTTTCGGGCTGTTCCACCGCTGTTTCTGATTGTCGTCTTCATTACTATACATAATATGCATGCGAGTGATAATAATCTGTAGGCTTAAGCTACCTGTCTATTCCTTTCAATATATGGAGACTAAACAAGCGGACTTCCAGAGCTATGATAAATACCAGAGTTCACACAGTGCTCCCCTCCTTTCAGAGCCCACTATGTGTGTGTGTGTGTGTGTGTGTGTGTGTGTGTGTGTGTGTGTGTGTATGTGTATGTGTACTCACCTATTTGTGGTTGCAGGGGTCGAGTCCTAGCTCCTGGCCCCGGTGTGTGTGTGTGTGTGTGTGTGTGTGTGTGTGTGTGTGTGTGTGTGTGTGTGTGTGTGTATGTGTGTGTGTGTGTGTGTGTGTGTGTGTGTGTGTATGTGTGTGTGTGTGTGTGTGTGTATGTGTATGTGTGTGTGTGTGTGTGTGTGTGTGTGTGTGTGTGTGTATGTGTGTGTGTGTGTGTATGTGTATGTGTGTGTGTTGTGTGTGTGTGTGTATGTGTATGTATGTGTGTACTCACCTATTTGTGGTTGCAGGGGTCGAGTCCTAGCTCCTGGCCCCGCCTCTTCACCGGTTGCTACTAGACCCTCTCTCTCCCCGCTCCATGAGCTTTATCAAACCTCGTCTTAAAACTGTGTATGGTTCCTGCCTCCACTACGTCATTTTCTAGGCTATTCCACTGCCTTACAACTCTATGACTGAAGAAATACTTCCTACTATCTCTCTGACTCATTTGTGTCTTCAACTTCCAATTGTGGCCTCTTGTTTCTGTGTCCCCTCCCTGGAACATCCTGTCCTTGTCCACCTTGTCTATTCCACGCAGTATTTTATATGTCGTTATCATGTCTCCCCTGACCCTCCTGTCCTCCAGTGTCGTCAGGCCGATTTCCCTTAATCTTTCTTCATAGGACATTCCCCTTAGCTCTGGAACTAACCTTGTTGCAAACCTTTGTACTTTCTCTAGTTTCTTGACGTGCTTTATCAAGTGCGGGTTCCAAACAGGTGCTGCATACTCCAGTATGGGCCTGACATACACGGTGTACAGTGTCTTGAATGATTCCTTACTAAGGTGTCGGAATGCTGTTCTCAGGTTTGCCAGGCGCCATATGCTGCAGCAGTTATCTGATTGATGTGTGCTTCCGGAGACATGCTCGGTGTTATACTCACCCCAAGATCTTTCTCCTTGAGTGAGGTTTGCAGTCTTTGGCCACCTAGCCTATACTCTGTCTGTGGTCTTCTGTGCCCTTCCCCTATCTTCATGACTTTGCATTTGGCAGGATTAAATTCGAGAAGCCATTTGCTGGACCAGGTGTCCAGTCTGTCCAGGTCTCTTTGAAGTCCTGCCTGGTCCTCATCAGATTTAATTCTCCTCATTAACTTCACATCATCTGCAAACAGGGACACTTCTGAGTCTAACCCTTCCGTCATGTCGTTCACATATACCAAAAATAGCACTGGTCCTAGGACCGACCCCTGTGGGACCCCGCTCGTCACAGGTGCCCACTGTGATACATCATTACGTACCATGACTCGTTGTTGCCTCCCTGTCAGGTATTCTCTGATCCATTGCAGTGCCCTTCCTGTTATATGCGCCTGATGCTCTAGCTTCTGCACTAATCTCTTGTGAGGAACTGTGTCAAAGGCCTTCTTGCAGTCCAAGAAGATGCAATCAACCCACCCCTCTCTCTCTTGTCTTACTTCTGTTATTTTATCATAAAACTCCAGAAGGTTTGTGACACAGGATTTGCCTTCCGTGAATCCGTGCTGGTTGGCATTTATACTCCTGTTCCGTTCCAGGTGCTCCACCACTCTCCTCCTGATAATCTTCTCCATAATTTTGCATACTATACACGTCAATGACACAGGTCTATAGTTTAGTGCCTCTTTTTTGTCTCCTTTTTTGAAAATGGGAACTACATTTGCTGTCTTCCATACCTCAGGTAGTTGCCCAGTTTCCAGGGATGTGTTGAAGATTGTGGTAAGTGGTACGCACAACATATCTGCTCCCTCTCTAAGGACCCACCCATGTGTGTGTGTGTGTGTGTGTGTGTGTGTGTGTGTGTGTGTGTGTGTGTGTGTGTGTGTGTGTGTGTGTTCCTATATACATGCTGATTAAGGTTTTTCATGAAACTATTACCTGGAGGGGTTTTTGGAGGTCAACTCCCCCGTGGCCTGGCCCGTGACCAGGCCTCGTGTATGTACAAAACCATAATAATAATATTTCTACACTTACATAATACAACTTAAACAAACTTAGCAGACATCAGTGACATACTGCATAGAAAATCCCTGTTATACAGAGCATTTCGGGCAACTTAGGTCAATTTTGTCCCCAGCATGCGACTCTCGCCAGTCGGCTAACACCCTTGTACCTTACTGCTAGGGCAACAAGGGCAGCAGGTATCTTTAGAAAACATGCCCCAATTTTTCCACCCGTACCGAGGATCGAACCACGAACCTCAGTGTGTGAGCCGAGTGCGCTATCAACCGAGCTACGGAACACCTCAGATTCATATTAGTTCGTGTAACTCTCGACGCAATTTCTTGTCTTGGTCGAGTAGCCACCGATGTTTGCTGGTCCATTAAACTCCATTTCTTTAATGAAAAAAAATTTCCGTGTCTATGACGCTGTGTTGCTGAAATTTTGTCATGAGCGAATGTAACAATTCAGCGTCATAACCTTCCCAGCACCTCACTATATGGTAAAGATCCGGTCCGGGACAGTACCCGCATTCTGGTTAGAGAAACTTTATTACCCTCTATTTCTTTGGTGCAGCGGACCGAGATGACGGACTGGAACCCCAGATCTCACGTTCGAATCCCGGTCACACTAATGAATTGTTACATTCTTTTATTACAATTTTTCAGCACAATGACAAGTTACTTAGTATATATAACAGCTGGAATTAATATGTCTATTGGATGTAACAGTGTTCCTTCATAAATAAACTTATAATCACGTCCCATTTAGTGACCATCATTAATTAATATTCCCAGGATTCTGTTCTGAGAAACAGTATGATCCTCAGATTCCGGGAAGAGAATAGGTCCATCTCCTTGGATCAAGCGCCCCCTCACCGGCATCAAGGTGAGGTGCGAGGTACGTTAAGGTAGACAATACGTATTCCATCATAACATCTGCACGTGACATATGTAATGGGAACTAATTTATGCATGGAGGCCAGAAGGTGGCCATCAGACGTAGGGAACTCATTAACAGGTCGGTGACAATAGTCTACAAAAAAAATGTATGCCACCTGTATTAAACCATATATCTCAGTATTATGCAGATGAAAAAAGCCCTTTTAAGTTAATACATATTGCAATCTGTTTATACTGTAGGGTAAAAAAAAAATTTATTTATAGGATTAACACAATGTAGTACTATTGTTGGATGTAACATAATTTCCAGACACTAAAGTAACGAGAACTGTAAGAGTCAGTCTTCATCTTGATATGGGACAAATGAGTAATAACTTTATTAATAATCAATGAGCAAACAAGGACTGTAATTACTGAGGAATGCAATTGTCGAGGCGGATGTTACTGTCACTATAATAAAGCGGCAATAACATACTTTTATAACCTATACCAAAACATCTCTATACAATGCGCTATTTCATATAATAAAAATGAAGGCGGCGTAATTACTGAATTAGGTGATAATAAACTATAACGAAGGTTAAGGGAACTATCGACTCCTCCCTGACATCTACGATTCTTAAATTCTTGTGTGTGTGGTGGTGATGTGTGGTGGAGTGTGTATGTGTGGTGGAGTGTGTGTGGTGGAGTGTGTGTGGTGGTCTGTGTGTGGAGTGTGTGTGGTAGTGTGTGGTGGAGTGTGTGTGGTGGTTTGTGTGTGGAGTGTGTGGGGTAGTGTGTGGTAGTGTGTGGTGGTGTATGTGTGTGGAGTGTGTGTGGTGGAGTGTGCGTGGTGGAGTGTCTGAGGTGGAGTGTGTATGGAGTGTTTGTGTGGTGGAGTGTTCTGAGGTGGAGTGTGTATGGAGTGTTTGTGTGGTGGAGTGGTGTGTGGTGGTTTTTATGTGGAGTGTGCGTGAGTGTGTGTGGAGTGTGTGTGGTGGAGTGTGTGTGTGGAGTGTGTGTGGTGGAGTGTGTTGTGTGTG